TCATGTCCCTAGCCCGATTTCTCATGAGGGGAAAGAAAAGTAACAATTTGATGAGTAATATCAAAAGGGGGTGTTAGAAAAAAAAAAAAAAAATCCACCCACGATCTATGTGTAACTTTCCTAATATTACCTAATCCAAAGGGAGGGAAGAGGATAAATTCTGATTATGGAAAGTAGCATCCAACTAAACTTCATCTTCTCTTAGATCACACCTTTTAGAAACAAGAAGAACACTCATTCATACACTATTACTCAAGGGATGATGAAGTCATGAACAACCCAATTCTTAATCTCATGAAAATGACAATTCCAACTCTCTCCAAGATTGTGTACATCGATGTCATTCACAATTTTTGTTTTTAAAGAGTCATAATCTCACAAGCAACAAATCAGCCAACTCACGCATAGATTTTTCATGACCATTGTTTTATATTAATACATCATGTATACTCCTTTTCCCTGTTAAAGCAATAATGTGAAAATGATAAAATATATGTATGTATCTCTTGCTTTGTAACTAAAAAAAGTGCTGCAAAAAAAAAATGTTAGTTTCGAAACTTTTGAGAAAGAAATTTTGAACTCGTCAATGAAGTTACTCTACTGCATGCATGTGACGTATTAATTAATGTGCCAATTAGTAATTGCGCTGACTAAGACAGCAATTTAATGGTATCAATGAATAAATCAGTAATCTTTCTTCAACACCATGCAAGCATTGGATAATGGACATACGTATACATATATAGCTAAGCATCCATTTTCCTGATATTTAAGTGGTTTTAGGATGATTAATTAAAATTATTGTCGTATTAATACTAATTAATATGAATATTGGTGATGTATGTTGGACTATTCAGGAATCAGCAAACGTAATGGTTAAGTATACTTCACATTTTTTTTAATCTTGAATACTGTAGTATATTTGTGTATTTTAAAAATATCATTACGCTTGTTTTATCGTATTAATTGATTAAATATATTTTAAAATATTAAAAATATAAACAATATAAAAATCTGAAATAACAATAAAAACTTTATCTCGTACAAAACAGTAAAAATAATAATTTTTTAAGATATATAAGAATTAATCTAGAACACACTTTTTAAATGACATCTTAGAAAATATTAAATATGTTTACGAAACGTTAATAGTATGGATGAACATGTTTTTTAGCATTAAACAAATTAAAAATTAATTAAAAATACTTGTTGAACATGCTTCAAATACTTTATGTTGTGAATACACTTGAAAATTTGAATTGACAATTTTTTAAAACAGATAAATTGCTGACGACTGTAATTAAGAATTTTGACTTTTCAATAATTCAGAAGACTCTCGAATATTTGTAACATTTTTTAAATAAATTATGAGATTCATTTTTCATTCAAAATTAGACAAAATAAAAAGTTTATCTGTCACTCAAAGTATTGTGCAGATTTATATAAGTGAACTTCAAGATATTTGTTTCTAATTTAAAACAAAAATTGCGAGATAAAACTATATATTGTATAGATTATACATATTATAAATTTAATTAGTTTACTTTTCAAAATGTAAAATTATTTGTTGATTACAGAAATTAATTTCATATAATTTTTTTTTAAACAAACTTCAAGTTCTTTTACTTATAATCTGAAAAAAAAAAAAATTGTGGAGATGAGAAGAAACAATATAATAAGAGAGTGATTTTCATCAACACAGAATTAAAAAAGCACATGAAACTTCTTTAATAACAAAATTGAAATGTATTAGTAACTTAGTTTTTTAAATGATATTATATTATTGTGCCGTATTCTGAAGCTGTGATTTTACTGCAACAAAATGTGACATTGCATATCCATGTCATTAAGTTCAATTTAACTTTGTAATGTATGATTCTGCGTGCTTAAATTTTTCAGTTATATTATATATCTCTTTTTTTCTCCTCATCCAAATTATTATAAAAAAAGGAATTTATCTTTTGTCTTAACCTCTCTCTGAGTTCCTCTTCAGTTCTATTCCTTGGTACCTGCATCTTGCATGCTGCTGATGAAGAACATGTAAGAAAGTCACCCTATAAACATGTGAAATTGTGCCTTCTTTTTTGTTTTTGAGTTGTGTTTTCACATGAGTACTTAGTGATTCATAATTTTTTGTTTTTTTTGTGTTTGTGTTGTTAGAAAAAGAATTATTATTTGTAAAATATTTTCATGTCCAATTTATGATAAAATAACCAACACCATAATTAATAATGGTCAAAGTAACTAAATCACTTATGTTGTTACTTGTTCCTACATTAAAAATGTTCTTTTTATCAAGAATATTCTAGTAATTTTCTCTTTTTTTTTTTTTTAATTTTAATGATAAGAAATTCATACACACCTTTTACATGATTTTTCCAGCTTGACAAATTACTCGCCCTTCACGTACACACTTATTACCATTGTAATTGAGGAATAATTGTATTGGAAGATTAAGTCCTCTTTAACTATTACTCTTTTTCTTACCATCACTACTACAAATAAGGCCTTCAACGTCAGTTCGGAAGGCCTTCAACGTCGGTTCCGGAACCAACGTTGTATCGAGCGACGTCGGTTCTATTTAACCGACGTTGAAAGTTATTTATTTCCAACCTTTTATCTAGAAATCCCCCCTCTCTTTTATATTATATTTTTATTATTTATCATATTTTTTTTAAGTTTAAAGCATTACCAAATTATTTTTTTGTCACTGACAGGATTCGAACCCAATACCTTAGTGTTGGAGGTCGATACTCCAACCACTAAACTACTCGAATTTTTTGATAGTAAGTTACAAATAAATTATATTTATATACGAATAAATATATATCCGTGTAAATATATAAATACAAATATATTTATATATTTTGATATATTTATATAATTATATATTTATATATTGGATGTGAGGGTACGCTTGAAGGTGAAAGTGTGTGTCGAGTGAGTTTTCAAAATTTAATGTCAAATTTATGAGCGAGTCTCTATATATGGGTTTGTAATTTAATGACAGAATATAATATTTATAATTTATTTATATAATGATATAAAATAAATTTGAAAAACGCATCATTCGCTCAAGTGACACATTCGCTCAAGCGAAAAATACCAATTTTCGCTCAAGCTAGGCTTGAACGAGTGAATTTCGTGAACTTTAACGTATTTTCACTCAAACGAGAGTCAATCTCACTTTCATCCTCGATCGCGCCCTCACATCCAACATAAAAATATATAAATATATTTGTATTTATATATTTACACGGATATATATTTATTTGTATATAAATATAATTTATTTGTAAATTATTATCAAAAAATTATAGTAGTTTAGTGGTTGGAGTATTAATTTTCAACTGTAAAATACTATATTCGAATCCTATCAGTTGACAATTCTCTAACTTAAGTGAATTTTTACTTGAAAAAAATAAAAACACTTTCCGAGAAAATATATATAAATAAATATATATTTACACGGATATATATTTATTTGTATATAAATATAATTTATCCGTAAGTTATTATCGAACAATTCTCTAACTTAAGTGAATTTTTGGCTGAAAAAAATAAAAACACTTTCCGGAAAATATAAATAAATATATATTTATACGGAATATATATTTATTTGTATATAAATATAATTAATTTGTAAGTTATTATTAGAAAATTACGAGTAGTTTAGTGGTTGAAGTATCAACTTTCAACTTTAAAGATCTGGGTTCGAACCCTCGCCAATGACAATTCTCTAATTTAAAAGAATTTTTGGTGAAAACACATTCAACGCTCGGTTCCGGATGAACCGACGTTATTTTGTAGTAGTGTCATGTCCTACAAGGTGTAAAAAAAAAACATCTAAAAAAAAGTTGAAGATTTTCATATAAAAATGTGTTTTTTTACTTGGAAACTTTGATTCAACTAAAAGTTTTTATTATCTTTCATATCATGGAACCTCCTTCTTCCATATTCTATAAATAAACATGTCACGTACTATATTTTCCCCAATTACTTGAATGCCAAGTCATTGTAATATCAAATAAATTTAAACTAAGTATTTATTTTACAAATGATTTTTTTAAGGGAAAAAAATACACGAATAAAAAATGATAATGTACATTTATTTTTATGCCTTAAATATAATTTATAATTTAACTTAAAATAATTTAGAAGAAAAAATTTCAAATAAAAATAATAATAATATGATGTATCACTTAACTATAGTTTTCATCCAATCATCTACATCTACGTGACCTAAAGTTTAAGATTTTTATTAGCTTTAGTGTGTGCACAATGTAATCTATAATTTAGACAACTTGCTATAGTGTTGATGTTTGTGTGTGGTAAGTATTCTCAACGTTGACTTGAACAGTAAGTAAAGCATTATTAAAAAAATAAAATTGAGCGTGCTTCATAGGTCAATTTATTTGAATGTACTACGAGGATTTATTTTCATTTTTTTTATAATTAATTTCAAAGTATATGTTTAAATTTTATTTCGGAAAACATTTTACTATAAAGAAAATATTTATTAAATAAAAGCTTAGAGATGTAACCAGCAAAATGCGATGATACAGTAGATAATTTCCCTTATTTATTAAATGTACCTCCATTTTCTAATTTTTCTTGGTAAATAGTCTTATTCCTTACCTCTCTCGCATCCAAATTTTGTAAAATTTTCTTTCAATTTTTATATTTACCGAAATGTTTCAATAAATTGCAAATTTAGTAAAAAGGAAAAAAACGGTGCATTTAGCAGGTACGAGAGGTATGTTCAAGAATTGTTTCTCTTTCGTAATGACCCTATCTCTGGACTGAGCCCAACAGGATCCAAAACTGTTCCCTTTCAGCCTTGTTATTCTCACTCCCTATTTGACTGTCTTCACCATTATTTTTATCATTGATATAACTTTTGATATTTAATTTATATTTACATACATTTAGAAGCGAATACAAGGAACAACAACAGAGCGCTCCGAAAACCCTCCTACTGGAACAAAGGCGTAGCAGGAATGGCGAAGAAGAACAAGAAGCAGACAACAGATACCGAGGTCGAACCAGAGCTCAACGCGAACAATGGCGACAATGATGATTCTCGCGATAAGAAAAAGCTTAAGAGAAAGAATAAGAGAAAGAAAATTCCCACAGTTAGCATGGCTGTGCCTGCTTCCATCATTGACAACGTTCCAACTCTCGAGCTCGCTACGCGGGTAGGATACACCCATCAATTCAAAACTCCTTATTCCTCTTTATTCAATTTTCTATGTCCCTCTTCAGTCTCAATATTCCTTTTTATTTTCCCTTTTAGTTGGCTGGACAAATCGCTCGTGCCGCAACCATTTTCCGAATCAACGAGGTTCCTAACCTTCATTCCGTGCTTTCTACATTTTCATATCTTTATTCTTATTATTAGGTTTAATTAATCTTTCAGTCCTTTACCTGCACCAACATTTTGTATTATACCCTGAAAGCTCTACGTTTTAGTCATGGCCATTTTTTGTACTTTTAATCCTTATGCCTCCATTTTGTGCCATTTTCACGGTCAGAAAACTAAGGGACTAAAACATTAAAAAATTGCTTGTATAGGGACTAAAACATAGTGTTTTACGGTATAGACTAAAACAAAAAGTTGACAAGGACTAGATGATTAATTAAACTTTATTGTTGTTATTTTTATTGGTATTGGGGATGTTTTTGTTGATTAGATAATTTTTGCACGTAGGTTGTTGTGTTTGATAATAAAAGTAACCCAAATAATGATTCCGTGCTGGATAATTCGAATGATGAAAGTGGTGCTGCCTTTCTGATGCGAATCCTACAGTACCTTGAGACACCTCAGTATTTGAGGAAGGCTCTCTTTCCAATGCATAACAGCCTAAGATTTGTGGTAACAATTCACTAAGTTACTTCCTTCGTTGCATTTAGGAAGTTTTTTTTGTTTTGTTGTGTAGTCCATGCCCGACTTCAGATGTTTGTATTGCACTTTGTATGCAGGGCCTGTTACCACCCCTTGATGCTCCACACCATTTGCGCAAACACGAGTGGGGTCCATATAGAGAAGGTAGGCCTTCAATTCTAGTATAATTTCTAATGTGATTTCTTGCAGGGATGAAAAGTCGACGTCTGTGTATTTTTTTTTTTATTTTTTTGCTAATGATGATTTAATTTTCATGATTGTGTGAGTTGGTTTTTGTAATATAGATTGTTACTCATCACCTGTCAATTGGTACCGATAGGACAGATGGGCAATGTAACTCATCATTACCTTTAGATTCAGGACAAAGTATTTCCATATGGTTCTGTTGTCACACTTTTATGGATTTAAAAAAGAAAAAAATTGATTCAAGGATATCATTAGTATTTGCATATCTATTCCTGGAAATATGTTTTTTCACGAGAGATATCAACTTGGGTGCGATAGCTCAAAAACTAGGGCAGTATTAAAAATTGATACTGGCTATCAAGGTAGAAGTAACAATTGAATTGTAATTGGATAACAACACCAGCTCTACCTAGGGTGTTGTAGTTAAGTGCTGTTTTTTCTTGAGAGTAATTGGTTAATTGTAAAAAGATTTGAAATAATGGTTTGTGCAGGGATTGGTTGAGCATCTTTAATTTGAGGGACATGTAGCATTCAAGCTGGTTGTAATTTTTGATTGCAGATTACATTGTAGGATATTTATACCAATCAACAATTTACTAGAAATATTCTATGGCAGTGAATGTTTGGCATGAGTCACTTACAAGCAAAAACAAGTGTGGCAGAGACAAGAATGCGGACCTAAAAGTGAAGATTTAGAAGATAAAAGATAAAATTATTAATGAGTTTATTTGGTAAATAGTAGCATGCTTAGTTAGGAGAATACAGGAGATCATGTGAGAAGTGAGGCTCTGTCAAGAAAGTTCAGTTAGAGAGGGTAGAGGAAAACCTAAGGAAAATTTAGGAGAAACCATTAAATATCTTACTCTAATAGCAAATTTGGTCTTTGATGGAGTCCAATGGTGTCAATTAGTCTATTATTATATCTCACTTGCTTGGATGATACTTGGTGTAGCTGGTTGGTGATGTCTATTGTATTGGTGCCTGCTGAATACTTTAAATGAACATTTTATCCTCTTTATTTGAACTTTATTTTGCTGTTCTTTTACTCACAAAGAAAACTGTTAAAGTAGAAACATTTTCAGCAAGGTCATTGCTGTTACATGTTTGTTATTTTGCTCCATTATTACTATGGCCAGGTTTTTTATATATTGCGATAACTTCGTAGGTGTTACCGTAAAAGAAAGAGACTCAAACTCTGGGGCAACACTAGTTGATGTTGGGCTAGTGAAGGTAAGGGCATACATATTGTAGATTACTTCACTCGAAGCATAACATTTTTTAATACTGTTGTTATTAGTTAGGGGAGGGGAGGGAACATTACTCCTTTTGATTCTCTTTCTTTTTTCCATCATTTTCTTATGGCATCATGTCTCATGACATATCCTTTTATCCGCATTTTCATTCATGTTTGGCACGAAGTTTGGATTTTGGCATTTGACCTCGAGTTCAACAATGATGTCTAGAAATACCATCATATTTTCTTTTTCTCTTAATTTCATTTCCTTATCTTCCATTTTAATTTCCAAGTTGTAACAATTGTTAATATTATTTTGTACATTAAATAACTTTGGTCAGTTTATTTGTTTATGTTCTGATTCAATACACATCATATGCAGAATGTTATAGTTGACCAAATATTTGAACCAGGAAGAAGAGTTACTGTTGCGATGGGTACCAATCGCAATTTGGATTCTGGTAATAAATTGATCTTTACTTTTTTTTTTTTTAATTCTGCTTTAGATGTTTGATATTTTCTTGATGATAATTGTACTGTCCATACAATATTAGCTATAATTGATAAAGCCGTGCTATATACTCTTTTATTGTGCAAACTTGACCGTTTTCCTGATTGTCATGATGTATATACATTGGCTCCTACAAGCTTGACTGCTTTCCTGATTATAGTGAAATATCATTTTCTTCTTGATTGAAAAGATGTGATTTTGTTTTACTCACATTATTCCCTTTTTTATTGCGGAGTTGATTTTCCGCCCATCCATTTCTACATATCCTCATCAATATTATCTTTGAAGTTTTCTTTGTGTCCCTTGTGTTAACACCAATGGTCGATTAGGCTTTTTGCTTTAATGTTATTTTTTCTACTAAAATCCATTATCCATTATACAATTTCTCCATTTTTTTTATTTCAAGTTTGTCAAGCACAACATGTGCTGGCCGTATTATTGCTAGAGGATCATCATATATCCCTGTGCGATATATTTAATTATGGAAAGTTACCATATTCAGTCAGTCAAATTTCTCATGTTTATGTCAAATTATTGCTTCTCGTCTTACTGCATAAGTTCTATAATTCTGATCTGAACCTAAAAGGAAACACTGCACCTTGATTACATATTCAACTATTAATGAAGAAATTATGTTTATGAGTGCAAAATGCATTCAAAAGTTTCGATGTTATTAAGCTGATATACAATGTACTTCATCTAGATTTACCACGCCAGGTTGTCTCATCATCTAAGCCTAGGGAAGAAGGAGCATATTGGGGATATCAAGTGCGATATGCTCATAATATCAGCTCAGTATTTAAGGATTCTGCATACAAGGTATCTCCCCCTCCTAAACAGACAAATATGCCTGTATTATCCTTAGTCTAATATTTGTTGTCCCACCCACATTGACTTGTTATTTTGACAGGGTGGTTATGATTTTATAATTGGTACCTCCGAGCATGGTCGGATTATTAGATCATCTGATCTTGAAATACCTTCTTTCAGGTATTGTGCTATAACATCAGTTGCATAATAATTAATGTTAGATTGCTTACGTGCTGATTTAAACTTTTCTTTATGTTGCTGTTTTAAGTGTAAGAGCTTATATTCTAAGATATGGGTTTTCCAAGCCCTTCCTACAAATTTGTTTTCTTTTTGTTCATATATATTTGTAAAATGATGTTCAAATGGGTGGGGATTGCGATCCTAAGACACGTGGCAATAAAGTTATTATTATAACTCAACTATTCAATAATATAGCCATCAAGCACTTTGTTTCTTTTATAAATTTTCATTGAAACATGAATCTGGAGTCTGAATCAATATGATCAAGAAATGATATATGGCTGTGTGTTGGGAATAGGTTCTTTGATATGTGAAAATAGTTTATAATTATTATAATATTACTTTTGCAATTATATGGATGATGTGTGTAACTTCCCAGTTATAATGAGCTTCTTTAAACTGACCAAATTTGAAATATAAAGTTTAAAAGAATTGTCTGTTGATGCGAGTTTTTTTTATCTGTATTGATTAATAATTTGCTTGTTCCTCTAAATTGCTAGACATTTATTGATTGCCTTTGGTGGATTGGCTGGGTTGGAAGAGAGTATTGAAGAAGATGATAACTTGAAGGTATTAGTTTCTTTTAGTTATTTATACATGGTTGTAATTGTGAGACTGCTGCCAATCAGAGAGATTCCATAAAATTTCCAGAATCTTTAGTACATACCTTTTTCTGTAGTTAAACTTCTGTTTGATAATATACTAAAACGAAGAGGCAAAACTGTATAGGTCATAATCCTGAATATCATCAAGAGTTGAGGGTTTCCTTCTACTTATTCAGGCTCTTTCAATGATATGTTTGTCCTTCTTTAGGTTCTCATGCAATGATTTACGTATTAATTATCAGCAATAAGTGTAATATTGGTTATTCTCATAATTTATGTACTCTTTATAGAGTTGACATAGGAAAAATAACTATGTATTGGATATAATTCTTTTGTCGTTACGCCCTACTCCATAAAATATGCAGGGAAAAAATGCACAGGATATATTCAATTTATATCTAAATACGTGTCCACATCAGGGGAGCCGAACAATTCGAACAGAGGTACTATCTGACTAATTCTTTCCGTACAAATGGCTATGTTAACTTACTATCTATCCAGTTTTAAGTCATTTTTCATCTTTTTGAACAGGAAGCTATTTTTATCTCACTTCAGTACCTCCAAGAACCAATCAGTCGAGCACTGTAGGGTTGAATATTGTTGAAGTCTAAAATTTCATATTGCTAAGTCAAAACCAAAATTAGAAATTGTCCCTCTGCCCTCATCCCAAACTGATCCTTAGGCGACAATTTTTCCTCTGAATCTTGTGGAAGTTGTAACACTATCTGTTGTTTACATGGGTTGTAAAACTTGCAAATAGAATAGTGTTCATTCAATCTATACATGGAACTGAGAGATGGGCAGTGCTATTGAATCTATTGGATAACTACAATAGAAAGGAATTAAATATACATTTGAACGTGCATTCTCTTGATGTAAAGATGCTTGCTTTGAAAGTGGAACAAGAAACATATTTATTGACAAGTTGAACCTATTTAGAAGGAATATGAGCGGCTCAGGATGCCGTGTAGTAAGGGAAATAGCTGCAAAGTGCAGCATTCAAGATTAAAAGTTTTTTTTTTTTCAGCTTATATTTTATCAACATTTTAATGTATGTATGAGAAAAGCTAAATAATGGAAATTTCCTCTTCTTACTTTCCTAGCTATAGGGAATCTATGTCCTGTGTGGAGGCATAAATTCTCCGGTAAAAAAACAAAAACATGGATTAAGGGTTTAAAAGATTAAATTGAATTTAATAAATTAATATTTTTATAATGTAATAAATTTATTAGTAATAATTTTTTTTATAAAAAAAATAAAGATATTATTATATTATTAAAAATTATAATAAATGATATAAATATAAAATATATTAAAGAATGTAAGATAAATAATTATTAAAATAAGATAAAAATATAATAAAATAATTATTATTTAAAATTAATGTAATTATTATGATATAAAAAAATAAAAATATATTATATTTTTTATAAAAAATTTATATAAAAAAATTTATTTTAATGTTTTTTTTATAAAATTCAGTTTGATCTAATAATTTGATTAATTTTTTTATTTTATTTTGATTCAATTATAATCTGATTATTTAGAATAAAAAAAGGATTAATTTCTAAACTGATTCTCAGTTAGACCAAGCGTATGATTTTTAATATGGTAAAATTCATGATAAAAAAATAATTTTCTTCTGATCTCTTAAAATCTTATTTCGGATCTTATTTCGGATCTCAAGATATACAGGCAAATCACATTTTCTTATTGTTATTTGAAAAAAAAAACCAAAAATTTTAAGTGTAAAACAAGAATAAATTTATAAGAAGGTAAACACCTACTACCTGTCTAAAGATAAAGGATTTCATCAGTTTACACAAATTTGAAGTTTTATTTTTTTTTACAAGATTTTTTTTCGCAAGGTATTTTTTATAATAACACATCATTAGATATTTTTATTCGAGCTAAAAATATTAGACAAGTATTACGTAAATTATTTTTATTTTAAATAAATTTTAAAATATATATACAACTGTAAGTAGAATTTCCATTATCTTAAGTAAATTAGTTTCAAACAAACTAAATCTATAAGCACCTTTTAAATATACACTTATCCTTCGCAATTATAAATAGAAAAAAATTAATTAGTAAAATTTCCACCTGAAAAAAGTAAATGACTTTTTTATGTAATTAAATTGTTTATTAAAAAATGAGAGGGCAAAAAGGTATTTTCGTGGACATATAGAGGCGCGTTTGGAGTTGGGGAAATTAGGAGTGCCGCGTTGGGAGTATATAACATAATTCGTCCCCAAATACGTTCATACCCAAAGAAGGCGAAGGGAGGGTTTTTTGTCTCGCGGAGTAAACACAATACAAGGCGTGATAGAGTGCGTTTTTGTCTGTGTAGTGAGTGAGAGTCACAGAGTAATTGGAATTTCAAATATTGGTTAACAAAAAAAAGAATAAGGGACCGTTGAGACTCGCTCGCGCCATGGAGAAGGAGGAGAAGGAGAAGAAGAGTGAGCGCCACCACGCCAAGACACTCATCTGTGCCATCAACCTTCTCTCGCGAGACCTCCCTCTCCCTCCTCACATCCTCAACTCCGTCTCTTCCATCTACCGCAATCATGTAACCTCTACTTTCTCTCTCTCTCTCTCCCTCTCTCTCTTCCTTCGTTTCTTAGCGATTTCGTTTAATCTCGATCACTCCGTTAGGTTTCGCCGTTTGTTTTGTCCTTCGCGCTCGCTCGCTTTATTCCTATGTATGCATGCGATTTTGAATTTCCTGCACTCGCCAGCTTCGTCGCTACTCGTTTACTCAATGTGCATAACGTTTATTCCTTTTCTGTTTCGTTTTTCACGTGTCAACTCCATTTAGCGTTGCAGTTTACCTAACCGTTCACTTTCTGTTGTTGTTTACTCAATGTGTTGTATTATATGCCGCTACAGTTTTTTTTTTTTTTTGCGTTGAATTTACTAGTTATTATTGAAATTGTAGGACGATGGAGGTAATTCTGGAGAAGATTTGATGACGGATCTTGAAGATGCACTATCAAAGCAGCGTCCAAACTGCGTGTCTGGTTTTAAATTGGAGAAAGCAAGGGAAAACCGGTATCGGAGTCAGATTCAGCATCGGTTAAATGTGCTTCAAGGTAAGTGGTTCTAGTTAATACGTTTTTCGTTGTTTCCATGGTGACTTGGTGCAGAATATGGATTTGATTTGTAGATAGTTCCTTGGTGCTTGTTTTGTTTACTGTTAGTGCGGGAAACACTCACACCATGTGCGAAGTCATTAATGATAATATATGAGGGTTTGGTCTTTAATCGCACTAAGTGACATCATGTGATCCATGTAGCTAACCTGGGATAAGGCTGTTGTTGTTGTGTTGTTCCTTCATTTTTGCTACCAGCGATTGATATGCTTGCATATGGTGTTATACTACTAATTATCTCAGAGGTATGGCTTGTGCAAGCCCATTTACTGAACTAACTAGAATTATGACACATATATTTCAAAAGGTTTATGTGGTTAGGATGATTGCTTGAGTATATACTTACACTACTATCAAGAGGAGAAAGGTGGGTTGAGGCAGCACTAGTCTAAGTATATACTCAAGCACTAGTGCTGAGCCACCATTATACAACCATTCATCACAATCATAAATTATATTAAGAAAGAATCTTTCGCATTCCATCAATAATTTAAATTTTCAATTGCCTATGGTGTTTGGTACCAGAGATCATACAAATCTTATGCTCTAATATGTTATTTTCTTGCTGTGAATCTGCCATTAAGATGTACACAAATTTAATCAGTGTGTATTTGTTGGGAAAAATACACAGAACTTTCTCATGTAGTCAGATATGTGAAAGTGAAATAAAAACGAAATAAAGATGGAATAATTGGACACACCAATTGATAACGGAGTTCAGCCAAAATTGCCTATGTCTCCGGACTACTGCAGATATTTTACTGGGAGAAAAGAAAATACACATGTGTTTACAAAGCACTCTCAAAACACTCGCAACCCTCAATCCAATTACACCCAGAAGCTAGATTATTTTCTTTCTGCTTCTTGCTGGCTAACTCTTGTAATGATTGCTTGGGAATTGGATGATCCAAATGAGTGATGTGAAAGAGCATTTTATAGCAAAAAATTGTTCCTGTGCATTTAAGGTTTTCTATGTTTTCTTGTCTCCAACCACTTGCCAACCAACCACTTGCCACCTTTTTTTTTTTACTTTTCAAACACCAACAATCTCCCACTTGAGGATTGATTTCAATCTGTCCTCACACCTTGATTAATGCAGTAGTCTTCTCTGGTCTGCTACTCTTGCAAGCCAACTGAAGTTGAGCACAACTTCAGTTTGTCAATGGTCACCACCTTCGTTAGCATATCTGCTGGGGTCTTGCTTCCTACAATCTTCTTCAATGTTAACACCTCATCCTCAAGTAGAGATCTGATGAAATGATAACGAATATCAATGTGCTTGGTTCTGGAGTGAAATGTTGAATTCTTTGCCAGATGTATTGCACTCTGACTATCACTATGCAAAACACTCCCTTCTTGAGTGAATCTCAGCTTTGCTAACAGTCCTTGAAGCCATATCAATTCTTTACTGGCTTCTGCCACTGCTACATACTCAGTCTCTGTAGTGGATAAAGCAACAATTTTTTGTATCCGCGACATCCAACTAACAGTTGTAGTACTAACCGTGAAAACATAATCAGTGGTGCTTTTTCGGTGATCAACTTCACCTCCAAAGTCTGCATCTATGTAGCCCTGTAATCTTAGATTTCTTTTTCCAAAACACAGACATTTTTTTGTTGTTCCTCGTAGATATCTCAGAATCCACTTGACGGCTTCCTAGTGAGCCTTTCCTGGATTTGCCATAAACCTGCTCACAACTCCCACTGCATGGCCAATGTCTGGTCTTGTATAGATCATTGCGTACATCAAACTTCCAATGGCTGAAGCATATGGAACCTTAACCATAATTTCTTCTTCTTCCTTTGTTTGAGGAGACTGATCCTTGGATAGACGAAAATGACTGGTCAAAGGTGTACTGACTGGTTTGGCCTTGTCCATGTTAAATCTTTGCAAAACACGGTTGATGTACTCCTCTTGAGATAATTGCAAAACTCCTTTTTGCTTATCTCTCGTGATTTGCATTCCAAGAATCTTCTTTGTTGGTCCTAAGTCCTTCATGTCAAATTCCTTTGACAACTGCATCTTTAAATTGCATCTTTAAATTTCTGATATCCCTCATATTTGAACCTGCTACTAACATGTCATCAACATAAAGTAGCAATATGATATAGTTGGACTTATACCTCTTGAAGAAACAACAGTGATCGACATTGCACTTCTGGAAACCTTCCTTGTGCATGAAGCTTTCAAAATTCCTGTACCACTATCTTGGAGCTTGTTTCAGACCGTACAAGCTCTTCTTCAATTTGCACATCATATCCTTCTTTCCTTCTGAAAATCCTTCAGGTTGGTGCATGTAGATCTCCTCATCTAAGTCTCCATGGAGAAATGCAGTCTTCACATCTAATTGCTCTAGGTAGAGCTCTTCACTAGCCACAATACTTAACACTGTTCTGATAGTATTGAGCTTTACGACTGGAGCAAAGATT